TCACCACCATCATCATCATGGTCATGCTGACCGTTACGAAGTCTCCGAGGTTCGCGCCGCTTCCGCCCCCCGCCGCCAGTCTTCCGGCTCTGGCTCCGGTGCCCCTCTCCTCCCCAACACCGTTACCATCCCCTGCCACCACATCCGCCTCGGCGACTTCTTGATGCTCCAGGGCCGCCCCTGCCAGGTCATCAAGATCTCCACCTCCGCCGCCACCGGCCAGTACCGCTACCTCGGTGTCGACCTCTTCACCAAGCAGCTCCACGAGGAGTCCTCCTTCATCGCCAACCCCGCCCCCAGCGTCGTTGTCCAGACCATGCTCGGCCCCGTCTTCAAGCAGTACCGCGTCCTCGACCTCGCCGATGGTCACGTCACTGCCATGACCGAGACCGGCGACGTCAAGCAGGGCCTGCCCGTCATTGACCAGTCCAACCTCTGGTCCCGCCTCAACAACGCCTTCGAGTCCGGCCGTGGCTCCGTCCGCGTCCTTGTCCTCAATGATGCTGGCCGTGAGCTCGCCGTCGACGTCAAGGTCATCCACGGCTCCCGTCTGTAAGCGTATCACGCTATGTCAATGGTTTATCTAGCAAACATGTCATGTACGAATTACAGATGATCAAATGTAATGGAAGAAATTGAAGTCGATTTTTGGATAAAAACAGAACGGATAAAGGATCCAGGAGTCTTTTACGTAGATATGTAGCTCTGTATATGATCTGTAATCCATATGTTTGGGTACTACACTAAACTTTCTCAAATATGCTCTACTGTGACCTTAGTGATGATCTGTGCTCTTGTTTTCGTTTCTGATCAAGGAGCGCCATGCTTCACATCTACTTGGTATCCACTTAGTATAAGCCAAGCTCACCACCTCAGTAAGGCGGAAAGTCTGTTCTGACCGTCATTCACTGCCAGAATCATAGCATCGTCACTTGCGATGGCCGTTACCGCCGTCTCTGTATTCATCATCAGGTATGTTTACCAAGGCCTCGCCAAGCACGGCCGAATAAAGGACTGGGCAACTGCCACCTATGATTCCATCCAATCTCATTCAGAACATCAATCCTTTCAGATTACGTCAATCGCCAAATAATATGTGACACACAGTTAGTTATGTAGACAAAGATGGAGTAGAATTTTGAACCATCAAATACTACCTTAGTAGATGCTGTCAGGCTCAATCATGTGGGCTCGTGATAAAAGGACAAACACGGCTGCGGGCATTTCCTGAATACGCTTTCGCGTGTTAAACTTGGGAGGTGGGATAGTTTTCTGGGATATTAAAGAGGGCATATACCCGTTACAAAACAGCCTCATCACTCGCTCCAAGCGTCTCCTGAACCTGAATCAATACAGCGTTTCGTGAGTTCGATAATAATCATGGCTAGTTCAGGCTTGCCACAGCAACCTCAGGGCCATGGACCAGTATGGGGATATATCGATGGCATCCACACTCAATTTCAACGCCTCAAAGGCATAAGTCTGACTCAACACCCGGAAGCACAGGCTCTCTTCGAGAAATATAGCAATGATTTTGACGACTGGTCAGTGGCAGTGGGGCCTTATACATCTGGGCAAGATGCTCATACCGGCGACTTGCAAGGTCTACTTGCAACTCTTGTAGACAGTAAGTCATCGCCAAACCTTGACCCACATACTCCTTTGCGAATATGTCAGTACTAATCAACATGGTGTGGTGAGCTGCATGGTCGGCGTCGATAACTGCCCCCGTTCATCGCCTAACGTGAGATGGGGGAAAACCCACAATGAGGGATCCTATGGACCTCTCTTGGCCGAATCGTGAGAGAGATGAAGAGGGCACTGATCCAAGAACACTCCTTGGCGCAGTACTGTTCGTCGATATTCCGGTGCGTTTTCATGCTTCTTAATTTCAGGCTTGCTGTATTGAGGGACCGGGATATCGCTTTCCAAGGGGAAGAAATCAAGAAAGTTTGTCGACCGTAAGAACTTGGAAAGGACATTGCTGGATGCCAAGATCATCCCTGCTTCGCCACCGTCGGTCAAAGCACTCGGTTATAGTCCTCTCGTCTTTGTAGAGAGGGGGACCGGATAGACCAATCTCTCTAGTGAAGTCGGTTGTATTCATCATTACCAAACATGATCGGGATAGCTGGGCCCCCAGGTCGACAGCGGACAAAATGCGAGCTTTCTGAATTACCCCGTTGAGTAAACCGACGTCAGCCTCGAGAGAATTCGGTACTATCGAGGCTTGGAGAAAGCAGTGGATTGCTGGCGGCTTCACGGAATGCGGCACTTTCAGCTGGTTTACCCAGATCAGGGCGGCTCTGGATCGTTTTCGTCACTTGGGTAGCATCGTAATTGGTATCTCTATGTGTACGATGAGGGGTTCCCAGCTCCCAAAAGCACGAGACAAATCCACAGAATACTAGTCTATATGCAAAAATACAAGTAAGGATACGGGTGCTCAGTCTCATGCTATGGCCCAGTCTTGCGCTGACCCAATTGTAGTCACTTAATCTGAGAGCAGGTGTACATGGACCAATTGGCTATCTTGATCCCCAAATTTTTTGCACATATGTCTTCAGAGTCTCGTTTGATTCCCGTTCTTGGGTTCTGAGCAGTCGGTAGCGAAGGTGAATCAGGAAGGCTGCTAGAGCCCTACAAACGGCCTTTCCACTTACATACACCTCCTATGTAGGACTCGTGAGCTTCGCACACTTTCTCCTCCTTCCGCCTCCATTTGTGCAATACAGAGTATATGCGTGATTGAAGAGGAATCCTACCCATTGAGTTGGTTTCCTGGTGCTGAGCATCGGATCTTCTGAGATCACTTGAGTAGCCACGCCATCGTCGGTAAACCCCTCCAGCCAGTCATCACTCTTCGAAAGACACACATCACGGGCAGCAGCTTCCAGTTATTCATACGGCCTCTCGATACACCAGCTCATCGAGGGATCAACAGGAGTCATTGTGACCGCCATTCACCGCCAAAGTCGTGGCGTCGTCACCTTTCATTCATTTCAGGAATTGCCTCAGTTGAACTTGCACGTGTAGGAACTTTGCCTCTTTTCCAAACCTATATCTGTCCTGTGGCGGTAGGAGCTCGGGGTTTGATGGGGGGGATGGGTGTCTTCGTATTTATTGTCAGAAAGCGAGTGTCGAAAGACGGATAAGTTTACCGGGTGGTCGCACATAGGTCTGGAAAACCGCCACATATGGTTCCCACACCCTCTCAAATCAGGACGTGAATACATTTCAGATTTCATCAATCAATTCCTCGGGGTAGGGCCGTTTTATAGATCGTTATATGGACAAAGAAGGAGGGGATTATGAATCGTTGAGTGTTCAACAGGTGGTGCTTTCAAGCTCAGCCATCGTGAACTTGTGATCAACAGAGTCATACCCACGGGGGATACAACGAATGTTCAGAGAGTGGTAGAGTTTCCTGAATTATAAAAGATGCCATGTTTCCTTTCCAGAATAGTCTCATCATGCCTCGTAAACATCTCTGTACCCGACAACGAAACTACCAAACCTCAAACGGCAATCATGGCTTCTAGTGATTTCAACACCCAGGTCCTCGCCGACCAACCGTCGAAAAAGTTGAAGGAATGCGACGAAGTGTTCAACTCCATCGTGGGCCATCCTAGCGAAATCCCCTATCACCTAGCGCGGACCATAGTCGACCATCTGTGGATCGATTTCAGGAACTGGGTCAGTAGGCTCCTTCAGAAGAAATGTGATCGACCTGAGCCTTTGTCTGGGTTGATTGCTATCGATCGCAGGATCTCAAGGGGAGGTGAACGCGAGAAAGCCATCTTCGTCCACGACCTGGAAGTCCTCTGCCACTACCTTCAGAAAAGTACATCAAACCGCACCCAACCATGATGTTGATAACTTGGTAATGCTAATTGACCTAATGAAGTGTCAGCTATACTCACCGAGGGAGCTGTGAATCGGCTGAGGAGTGACAAAGCCACTCGAAAAGATCCCTTGCCAAAGACTTCAACGATTGAGATAGACTATGACATCAGGTTGGGTCCACGGTCAGACCTCGGCTGGTACATGTTCTTTGGTATTCCGATGCGCCTCTTACTCCTCGAGTCCGCGTCTGTTATGTTCCCCGAGAAGAAAGATGAGGCAGCCGATGCTTACCTTTCGGAGATTGTGAGCAAGAATGGGATAGAGGGTCGATTGATAAACCAGCATATACACTGAATCACTCCTGCGAATAGATGGGATTCCCGGAAGTCTAAGCATTCTCCTTATTTCCTTTGGTTCAGCAGGGATAAGTGGAGAAGGGGCCTACATTCGCTGCCGCTCAACGGAGTAGACGGCCGACAACAGAGGCTTTTCCGAACCAGCTGTTAGTAAACCAACGTCAGCCTTGAAAGATACGGCATTATCGGGGCTTGGGGAAAGCAGTGAAACACTGGCAACTGCGAGGAATGAGGCACTCTTTTGGACTTGTTGACCTAGATCAGGTAGCTTTGGAATATATATCATCACTTATCTCAGCATCACTCGTGGTGTAGCAATGTACGTGGTGCGGATTCTCTGATTACCTGTCTTGTAACGTACTCAACACCAAAGTTGGTTTTCACTACCTGCACATTCGCCTCGCGTTTCTATTCTACGGCGTAATTTTCATTAATGGGCAGGGAGAAGTTGTTGAATCCGGCTATGCATATATCATCGAGGACAGGGAATGGATAGAGCTTGGAGGAAACACTACTATATTTGTCTTGGGTGAAAGGGAGACGAAGGGAGTCTGCGCCCAAAACTGGAAGGAAGAGCAAGGACGGAATTGAGCAAGGGAAATTTTGCCAAAATTCAGGATATACTCTGGTACAATTAGGAGCACAATGGTAGCCATGGCTCTCTGCAGGAGACTCGACTATTGCTAGTATGCGAACCAGGGGGAAAGTTCGTAACTCCCTTCAAAGACGATTGGCGTACAATCATCATCCATCTCACGTTGTTACTATTTGATGGTTATGTTTAGATGAAAAGACCCTTCACGCTTCTGATGCCCAGAGCTTCTTATTCTTCTCCGCGAAGTCACAAAATCGTGATGGGTGTTTCCCTGTCAACTCGACAACAACGCTGTTCATCCGGTTCTCACTTCCATTCTCAATGGCCAAGTCTGCGTTGCCTAGAACCTCCGCAACATGCGTAGGTAGACCTTGACGAACATAGTAATCCACAAGCTCATCAACCGAGAGGTTTTTGTGCGTGATCTCGCGGCCGAGAGTTTGGGAAAGGATCTTGGCGATCTGCATACTATTGTTACTCACTCCTACTGCTGGCGGGAAGGGCAAATCAGACAGCTGTACTTACATCGCCATAGCTGAGTAGCTCGGGCCCCAGGATCAAGTACTCGTCGTTTGGAGCATCCTTTTGGGTGAGTAGCTGAAATGCACACGCAGCAACATCCTCTGTAGCAACCCAGGGGATCTTTCCGTCTCCGGTGGCAGAGTAGATTACACCTTCTCTGACAATAGAGTCTCGGTAATTATCCAATTCCGCAAAATTCTCTGTTCAGGAATTAGCACTTCTTCAGACCCTAGGATAGGCGCGCACTTACGTTGGAACCACGTCGGTCTGATCGCTGCCCATTCCACCTCGTCCTTCTCACCAAGCTCCTTCAGATAGGCATGAGGTCGACCCATTCCGTGACTCTTGATATCCGGCTCAACTGGACTTCCGCTCAGCAGAACGAATCGCTTTACGTTGCCCTTTGATCGCGCCTGGTCAATGAACAACTCCACCGGCGGTAAAGGACCCCCTGGTGGTGCTACTAGGAAGACGCTCGTCGCGCCAACTTCTAGAACCGTGTCCCATGTCTTCTTATCGTCCCAATTGAAAGCAATCGGCTTGACGTTCTCAGCGTCCGCCTCTGTCGTAGCCGACCCTTTGCGGGAGGCTTGATAAGTCCGGATTGACGTCCCCGCCAAGAGCTTGGTGAGCTGTCGGCCGACTTTACCGGTTCCACCGATGATTAACACTGTTTTCGAGGCATCTCCTTCCATCGCTGCGGTTGCAGAATTGTCGTTGATGTTTCTTGAATTGATTCCTATCATTTAGTATAACGAAAGAAAAGGAAGCAAAACTTACATCGTTGTTAGTTGAACTGCTTCGATTATCTTACGGAGCTAAGAGTTAAAAGCCGCTGCGGACTTAAGATCCGACTAGATGTTACGACCCGTACAAAGATGACAGTCAACCGACCCACTCGGGCGCAAGGCTTTTGTATTAATTGCTTGATTGCTTCTGTCTCATCTGGTTTTGGCCGCTTTAGTCGGCAGCTATAGACTGATAGCCAGGTTTAGCTTGAGGGACACATCTGTGGACAACGTGCGCCAAGCGGCACCATAACCCTCCAGTGCACTACATGTCCCTCAGCAAGGCTTTGAGTGCCTGTCATCATCATCCCCGCCATCATGATTTAAATGAGCTCAGGCACGACCGGGAAACACCCAGGAGAAAACCCGGCCGAGCTCTCCGGAAAGATCCTTCAAGGACTCATGTTGTATCTATAAGTCCCAAGGCCAGAGCTCTCCCATCGACAGGGACCAAACGAAGGCATCGATATACTGTGATCTCTGGACACAGGCCTTGGTACTTCTGTCTTCTTCAGACTCCCAGCACATAATCTCCATTTACATCGCTCTAACAATTGTTCACAAGCGCAGCTGCTCTTTGCTTTCTTTATTTGGGCCCTCAACTACCTCGCGTGGTGGCGTTGTATAACCAGATCTGGATTGATGGTTATCTAGAGGTAGATGAACTATTGGCTGCCGCAACATCGTGGGTGCTCAACTATTGCAATCTGACAGAGCCATGTACCCAAAATTCATGAGTCCATGAGAATTCTACGATAATATCCGTTGAGGAATCTGACTTGGTGCCATCAAATACAAGAAAGTAACCGAGACTACGATCCGTCGCCTTCATGGCTTCCAGGTCCTTGTGCTGCTTGATGAAAGCCATTCAACAGGCAATCTTTTTCGCCTCCCGAACTCGCGGAAATGGAATGGGTCATGGGTCTGGTGTCGATATCGACCATGTCGTCCTTGTCATCATCAGCACCAGCCCAATGGGAGCTATGCCTCAATGGCCTCTTTCAGCGACTGCGGGTGAGGCTTCCGTCGAGGTGACCTCTCTCAATGGTGGTCTTACCGCCGCGCAGACTCCGCCAACTTTTCTTGATCCCTCTGTTCAAGCTCGTGTTGTACATGTTTACGCGTGCTCAAAGAATATTTATTCTGAATCACGTAACACATATTCGTATCGCCTATCGTTGATGATGGGATCGCGGTAAAGCAGTCATTCTATGGGTTGGTCATGCGCATCTCTACAACACATGCTGCCATCAGAAGTCTCTCGAAACCCTGTTGCATTTCTCCCGTCTGACCTGTTATGGCTCGGTCCATGGTCGTACCAAGATTTTGAATGGACTGGGTAAACCGCCACATACGATGCCGCCTTATCCAAGAATCCGGAAGTAAACGCATTTAAACTACATCAGTCTTCACAAGGAGTCACTGGTGACTGGCAAGACAAAGACAGGGAACAAATCTGAATCATCAACTGTTCAGCGGGTGCTGTCGGGTCAAACATCGTGGGCTCGTGATAGGATGAGCTGTTTACGAGCATTCGCTAAACATTCCATCCTTATGCTAAGTACCTATGAGTTGAAGGAGTGAGAGAGCCTTGTAATCTTCTGGGTTATATAACAGGCCATCTTCATCAATCGTTTCCAAAAAGCTTGGTAACTTCTCACCTGCATCTCTGCGACCAACATCGAAACCACGAAACTACCTCAGACAACAGTCATGGCCTCGTCAATGATGGACCCGTCGAGAATGAACTCGTCAATTGTGAATCCAATATTCATAGACCCAAGAATTATGAACCAGGTGCTCACGGCCACTTCAAATAGCAATCACGTATACAGCTTTGGACACCCAGATGCATCTAAGCTAGTCGAGAAGTGCGTAGAAACGTTCGCAAACATCTTGAGGGAGAACGATCATCCTGATCTCACCCCTACCGTTAAGAGGCTTCAGAAGGAGTTTTTGGCGTGGGGTCATGAAATCCGTGTTCTCGACGAAGAGGGGCAAGTGTCGGAGGGGAAGGAAATATTCGACAACGTTTTGAGGTTTAACTCTATCCTTTCGAAAAACTTGCAAATGGACTTGGATTCTCTCTACGCTCATCTCGTTGAAGGTTAGTCATCGCAACGGCTCGAAGTCGACGGCTTCGAATGCTGACTTCAGTAATGCAGTAAAACGCATGACCGAACCGAATCCCGAATTTCCGTTTAGAAACGAAACATGGGGCAAGTCCACTTCGAAGGATCCCATTCTGCTACTCGGTCAGGATCGCACCAGGGACACTACCCAGGGCATTGGTCCACGGTCGCGATTTGGCATGACATTGTTCACAATGATCCCATTGCGTTTCCTACAAATCCAGCTCAGGTATGCCGACTTCACGTCAGATTGGGAAAAGGGTGTCGTTCGCCGTCTTAGCGAGGCGCACCTGCGGAGCGTTTTGTTCGAGCAGCATGTCTGAGCCAAAACTTCAAAAGACGCGTTCCCGCCACCGGCAGAAAGTTGTATGGACAGAACGGCCTTGATTCTAATCAATCATACCTGTCATCATCATCATCATCATGCAGGCGCGGGGACTTGGTCTCATTTTGATGGTGAGCGACCACAACGCGGATAGGCTTACCAAACGAGCTACGAACATAAGAAATCGACCTCGAACTTGAGAAGCGACTGATTTCTGTTTGAGATGTAAGAGTCTCTGGTCAACGGACGCTGGGCGGTTACGAGGAGTGCGGCTCTTTTCGACTGATTTAGCATGTTCGGGTGGCTTTGGACGACGTCTGGGTATTTTTTCTTCTCCTTTAGCGTATGGCCCTATGTATTGTGGAAGGCAAAAAGAAAATGTAAATAAAAAAAAAGTAGAAAACCAGAAAGGCAAAAAAAAAAAAAGAAAAAAACACTATCATTATTAAAAAGTTTCGTAACTTGACTGTGGAGTTTAGCTATATTGACTGCCTTGCGCACAACTGGCAGCCAAGCCTACTGATATCATCCCCTCTTCTACCTAAATTAGGTACGTAAGTTGTTAGAAAAGCTCACCCTATGCGAATATCTCCGTACTCAATGGCCCTTCAGTAAGAATAGATTCTAGAATATACGTATCTCTTCAAGTTAATCCTGTAATAAGACCCTTTAGTCGCGAAGAGCTTTGGCTAGAAAGGGCATCCTTGTAAGCCGTCCACACGTATCACCAACTATACATCCTAAACTGCAGTTATGTAGCACAAGATCCGGGCGTGCAGATGGCCGGTCATGCCGTTAAGTTCGGAGCGGCCCAAGGTTGTTGCGTCCCCGTGCCTTTCGAACTTTCGGGCCCGCGTCAAGCCGAGGCGCCAAGGGACAAGGAGAAGAGTCGTGGCCGAAAAAGGCTGAGAAAGTCCAGCAGTCTCTTAGTATGAATATTTGCTTGTGACCCTAGGATCTCCGTAATTGTGGGATCTCTATGACCATAGGGATCCGTTGCATGTAACTGCAGACATCTGCAACTCCGACCGTCAACGTCGTGCCGGGATCTTGGGTCGAAGCACAAAGGATTGGGATAGCCGCCGCAGATGATCTCAAACAAGCATCTCGCTTACGTCGGTAAACTGGCTACTGCTTGCCTGGCTCAGAACAATATTTGGTCGACAAAGAGAAAAAGACAAAATGGACCGCCAGGTGGTCAGTATGTGCGTTCAAGCTCGATCGTCATAGGCGCGACGAGTCGGTTCGGCTGAGGGAATTCGCTCAATATGCCTTTTTGCCCTGAATGTATATGGGTGAAGCAACGAGATGAATTTCTCCTGTCCTGGAATATAAAAGGGTTCATTTTTCCTTCCCAAGTACCACGCCTCGTCACTCACCACCAACGTTTCTACAATGGCAGCATTTCCTGTCGCGGCTCAGATCATCCTCCAGCAAAATAAAAATGAGCCAGGACCTCCTACTCCCGCAGGCCCCGCGATAGATTATCGTCTAAAACCTTGCCGGACAGCTATCAGGGAGATATCCGATCTTTTTCAAAACGCTGCTTCTCCGCTCGGCAATGAAACCTTGAAGCTAGCTATTGAGAGGCTGAATGAACTTTTCGAAAGCCGCTGCGACACGCTCGAGGATGCGAGGCTGGAGCATATCAAAGTTGATTTGGAAAAAGATGATAGATTGCAGTATTCAAACTAGGCAGTTTGGAAAAGACGACTGCCTTGGGTATAGTGAGAGACATACTCAGTGAAAAAGCCCGTAACAGGGAAACGACAGAATCAAATCAAGACCAAGGCCGATCGGAGCTAAATGCATCGCTTGGAAATATCGAAAGAAACCTCAATGGGGGCGCCAAGGCTTTTCTAAGTCCCTCGCTGAGAGGGGCGTGACCTTCAAAGAAGGCACACAAGTTAACCCCTCGGAGTTTAGTGCCTAAATCGCACCCGCGGAACCAAATATGGCATGTTTTCCAAGGGAATGACTGCTGCAAACCACAACGCGCGGAGACTGGGGGGAAAGAATATACGCAAAAATTAGCGACTACGCAGATTATGGTGCTTTGGTTCAGGAGGTTTCTGGACAGATTTTATCACCAACGTGGCTCACCTTATCGTCCATTCCACACATAACTATAAATTTCAAGCTATAAAACAACAAAAAAAGGAACAAAAGCAGTAGTACAAAATTTGAGAAAATAAAGCATGGTTATCAAATAGTATGTCTCTCCCAGGAGAAGAAGATGCATCGAGATGTGATACTGGAGACCGAATGCAGGAACGCGCTCGCAAGACGGGATGTAGCATCCTGCGGGCTATCTTCTGAGCAATCGAGCATCATTTTGACCTAGAAGGTTCTCTCTAGACTACATTAGTGAGTCATATACAGATAGAACTCCCAGCACCCAACTTAGAATAGCCACTGCGACTATGGTTCAGGGACTTGCAGCTCTCCCC